TTTCCAGCATGCCCAATCGGGAATAGGCGCAAACGACTCCCTTGGCTTCCAATGCACTGGTTGGCAAAAGTCACAAACAGGCGATCAGCGTGGACCTCGTCTTTGGGGGTCTCGCGGGAGGAGTAAAAGCGTACGGAGCTATGTTTTGATTGGGAAAAGTCTTCGGGTAAATCCACTGCAGAGTGGACAAAAAGACCAGGACGTAGGGTGACAAAGAAGAGGACAGCGCGATTAGTGCGCACAGGCCTGTTGAGAGGGGGAGAAGGGGGGATGCGCATCGAACTTACGATTGTCCAGGCCATCAATCTCGCGAATCTGGTGTAGAATTTGATCGCACGCCTGGCCGACCGTCATTAAGGCGTCAAAGACCAGCGTCTTTGTGACATCGGCATCGGGGACGTGAATCCGAAGAGCTAAACGACGGCTGTCTCCTGTCATCGGAGGTCTGGATTGGGAAGAGAAGGCAATAAATACGAGCACATACTAAAGGGGGAGTGGCCGGGGAGTAGCGGAACAGAACTGGGAGAACTCAGGAGGGTCGTTGCGCAGAAGGCGATGGAGGTGCGAAAAATGTCGTAATTCCTGCGGGCATGTTATGGGTATGATTACTTATTCCGCGGGGAAGGGGGAGAGACGACGTTATAAAAACATTCAGTGCGGGAGGATGACCTGTTTGTGTCGGCACGTTTTTAGCAGCACAGGTGGCTTTTGCAGGAAGGACCGACATGCAACCGATTTGGGAAACAGACCCAATTGCCTTCTCACTCGTAGACCGACATTTCTGTCAATAATATACGGGATAAAAATAAACCCCAGGCACAACAAATACTTTCAAACTTCGGCCTGCAATTTGAGGCCAATGGACAAAAATTCTGTCACGGAAACCCGGAGGAATATGAAAGTAGCCTGTACTGACTTCGATACGCGGAATATATTCTGGCAAAGGTAGTTTAAGTAGTGGACCTTTGACACTCCAAGCCCCAGCATTCGATCGTACGGGACCGGTGTTATTATGGGTTTTATGGGTGGGGGACTAGGATAGACAGCGAAGGAAATTTGTAGAAGTCAGTGTAAAGTGGTAAAATGCGGTTGAATTTGTTTATCGCGGCCGCTACATAGCCACGGATTAGATTACCGAACGGGACTGATCACTTAGAGAGCTGCATTATCCACGTGCAAAGGCATAATAAAATGGCCATTTCTAGCTTCTTTGTCTTAAACAGTCAGTATGGAACCAAACTCAGGCTGCATGCCCCGCAAGTGTGAACTCTAGTCCGTTGATTATAGATTAACTTGCTCCCCACGGAGATCGCGGATGGTGTCATCTAGTCTGATATCGGAAATAGTAAGTCACACCAACCACCTTTGCATTTCGTTTTCACTTGCTGACCGAACAGCTCCGTTAGCCGAGGTGATACTTTCATTAGAGCTGGCGACTGATCAACAGAGGCAGCTGATGACTTGCTCTCTGTCGCCAATTCTATCTCGAATGATGGAATCAATTCTCTAAATGTTGCTGTGTCTGTCTTCATCCATGGATGTCTATCTTACACAGATTGTCGTAGATGTCAAGTCATGCTTGCATATGCGCAGGTTATTCCGCCTGGTTGTTAGCGGTTTGAGATACTTTTCATACAGAGTCCAAAAATAGCTGAGATGGACTAACTTTCTTAGTAAAAAAAGGGATGCCAAAGTCCTCTTGAAAGGTGCATATCAATTTATTGAGCCGGCTTCGCCAAAGTCAGAATATTCGACACCAAAGCTGAAAATTACACGAGAGTAGGACAAGGTGCAAAAAGGAGTCTAGACCGTATGCAAAATGCAGCACAAACCGCGTGGCTGTTTGAGC